ACGTGGATGGCTGCCCCAAGCTAGCTCTGGAAGTGCAGCTCTCTGTATTGCACATTTAACTCCTTTTTTCCAAGTACCTCAGGCAAGGCCATATCTTAAGGTCCTGCAGTCACTACTGAGTCCTTTGTTCTTGATTCAATCAAATTATATACTATACTTTTAACTGGGGAAGCCAATTTGTGTCACTGCGGTGAAGTAACCTTGTTTTTTATCTAATTCCAGAAACATCCCTTCATTCTGATGTATGAGGAACGCACAGTGGATGTTGCATGCTATGTTTGTAAAATCCTGGATCAAATGCCAGCAACTCCCAGCTCTCCAATGTACGTCGATTGATATTGCTGCTACATCAAACTCTAGAAAAAGGGCTGAGAGAAAACAAGCTGTAAAGAATTTTCATCACATATTGCAGTGTTTTTAATGCTCGCCCAGACACCATGTGCAATAATATTGGTGTTATTTCCATCCTGTCTGTATACTGTTGTCACATATAAAGTGCATCCGTGTAATACCTGATCACACAGTGTTAGTGTTGGTCAAAGAGAGACCTCATCTTGCTCTTTTGTGGACATATTCATGAAATGTGGAAATAAGTACATTTATTTGTTGACCGTGATTGGATAGCACCTAAAATTCATTTCTAGACTCGAAACTTGGAGACTTCTCAGCAGCTACTGGAAAGATTTTTCTCTCAAACTCTTCCAATTGTTGTTTCAAGTAATAATAAAAAGCAAACAAACAAAAGTTAGGCTTTGTCTGTCTGAACATTAAGAGACTTTGCCTGGAGGGAGAAGAACTTGCTTAACCAACAAGATACTTTGCCTTCTGGAGCTAGAAAGGCAAAGGAGAATTTTATTCTTCACAAAGTGCAATAGATTTACTGCTATGAAATTCTGTTGCTTTACAGTCGCAGTGTACTTTCTGGGGACAGTGTGCTCAGCTGAACTTCCTGTTAAAGAGAGATCATGTTAAATATAGTGAATATGTCTTTACCAAAAATATGTTGCGTTGAAAGAGGCTAACATTAAAATATTCAGAGATGGGATATAATGTATTCTTCTCTCCTTTTACCAAGCCAGCCACTCTTCACTCTAACTAGGTGTCCTGTAAATTGTTACCTGGTAAGATAAGACCTTTGACCTGAAGAATTATTAAACTACTCGATTGAATTTAACCTGCTTGTGACCTGATTTATAGCTGCACAGTGCTCACCAGCTGGCTTTGCTTTGACTTGGACAAGTGCAGTTCACAAGTGTGCAGCTGTTCTAATGAGCCACAAATGAATGTCTGTGATTTCATCATTCTCTTCACTGTCCTGAATCCTGACGCTAGCGCTTCTCCACAGACTCCAAGCCTAGCTCTGCAACACTGCTGCTTGCCAGCCTAGAATGCTGTAAAAGATAAGTCTCAGCATTTCCTTCTAGTTCAAGCAGGATGGTGGGGATCTTCTCCCACCCCACCGCTTTGGGGCTCTGTGGCTAGTTGCATTGCTGCAAATCTGAGATACTGCTTTGCTTGTTGGAGACCTTGTTCATCTTATGGGTATTTTTACCCTCTTTTCTGACCCCGAATAGCTCCTCCATAGTGAAGTTTACTAAGGTTGTTTGGTGGAAGATGGCAGAAATGGTGGTAGATTTTTTTTTTTAATTTGGCATCATTTTCAAGGATGATTTTTTTTTCATGAAAATAGACTTTTTTTTCCAAAATGTTGCAATATCCAGACATTTAGTAGCATGCCAGTGATGAAATGGGGCCTGTGGTCTCTCTGACTTTCAGTATGTCTTTCTGAGTTGACTAGCTTGGGCACTTGGTAGGACTTGATTAATATTAGAGCAACTAATCGTTGAAGCTGTGCAGCACAACTGGATGCAGGACACAGCGGGCTAGAGAAGTGGAGTGAAAACACAGTGGTACTGGCAGGATCTCTGTGGAAGGGGATTCCAGCTGCGAAACCAGTGCTACCAAATGAAGAACCGAGCTGAAAGCGCCGAAGAACAGCACCTCGCTCACATCCCTGCTCTAGCTGCTCGGCTGAGACAGCAGACAGCCCCAGAAGGGCAGCGCTCCCGTGGACTCCTGGCGTTTCTCTGGCTGCTGATGCGATGCCCTCCTAGCCATCCGGGCAGTAGTGTCATCTCCAGCGTGGCTGGCTGGAGCCGTTCCTGTCTGCCACTGCGGGGAAAAGGGAACCGCCGGGATGATCCCGTGGGACATGGAGGGGCCTCAGCTCCTTCACGGATTGTGTTCCTAAAGGTCTGTTGGACAGATGAAACAGTTACTAAAGTCTTCCCAAGGCAGAGTTCTCCAAGGTAACTAGTTGTTCTCAGCACCTTTGATTAATCAGACAGCAACATGGAAGTATTAGTCAAACAAAATACGTGATATCTAAATATCTAATATCTAGAGTCCTTTAGCCTCAGAAAACTCAACTTTTCTTTGGCTTGGTCAATCCCAATATCTGTTAATTCATTTTACCAATCCCCAGCCACCTATAATGTAGCATCTGGCACGAGTGAGTTTTACAAAGTGCTGGCTAGGCTGAATCAAGAATGATAGACTGTATAAAGAAAGGCATATGTGGAGGTGCTCTGCCCTTGGTCCCACCTTTCAGACGTTAATGGTTGGTTCACAACAACTCTCTGACAACAGCAGCAGGCCAGGCAGCTTTTAGAGGGCTAACACTAGGAGAGATGAATTCCCCCCAGAATCTTTCCTTCCATCCTAAGCAACACTCTCGCTCTGCTCCTTCACAGGCTTGGAGTGTGTTCTCCACTGCCAACCCCACCTTTAGCTCGTCTTTAGCAGGTCAATTAATTTGCTTTCAACTGATGGGAAATGGAAAACAGAAGCTTTGTGCTCCCAGTATTGAAGTCAGGTTTGGAATGTGCTGTGGCATGGATGGGTATACAGAAAGGCAGGTCTAGTGTATTAAGTATAGATTATAAACTATTAAGGGTGCAACATTTATTACAATGTATCTTTATTAAAAAAAAAGTATATAGTGTTCAGAAGCTGTGAAAATAGTGTAAGAACTGTACATTGTGAACTCTGGTTATTTTTTTCTTCTTGTACCATAGAAAAAATGTATAAAAATGATCAAAAAGCTGATGTGCAGGGATGTTGCCTTATTGTCTGTAAAATGGAGCTCAGGAACATAACTGCTTCAAAGAGCTTCAGAATATTTTATCCAATATCCTGGTTTGACTTTCTTCTCTATATAAGATATTATACATGGAATCAGAGTGTTTATGTAATAGTTCTATCCTCTTGCCTGCAGGTCAGTTGTAATAAAACTAGGATGCGACTGTGACCTTGTTATTTTCATTTTGTAAGGTCAGACATAAACGAGAAGATTCATTAAAAGCTGTTGAAATGCTTGACTTCCAGGCCCTTCCTCCAGGTGGAGGTGGCTTGGCAGGAGAGAAGCAGCTTTCAGTTAGAAAATGTTTATGCTAAATTAAAAAGAAAAACAGAAGCAGGGAGAGCTGGATGTATTTTATCTGGGGGATTGCTGAGAATTCAACAGCTCCTCTGTGCAGTTGGTGCCTCTCGCATCAGCCCTGCTTGCTGCACAGGGAGCTCTGATGGATCTGGTGGCCCCAGGTCCTCATCCTGGCGCAGAGGGCAAGTGGTGGTGCCCAAACGCTGGGAGCAGGGCAGCTGCGGCCGCCTGCCAGGCAGGAGCTGATATCCTCATCCTTACGGGCTCCTTCGTTTTGCAAGAGCGGGGACTGTCTGCAAAGTGCAGCCAATCCAGGAGGACCTAGTCCTGGGCAAATCCCAACATTGGGCCTCCTAGTGTTGGAACAAGTGTCTGTCCTGCCTGGAAGCCATGGAGGCCTTGGACGCTTGTCAGGCAGGCGGCCGGCACAGCGTCAGCGGACCCCAGAAATCTTCCTAGGAAAGAAGGCAGTGACAGGACAGAGCGACCAGCCATGCAGGTCTGTAATGCTCAAACAAGGCTGATTGATTGATCGCCCCAGGACTGCACCAGGACTGCAGGATTCAGCGAAGGGGAGAGCCTGAGCATAGTGTCAGCCAGCACTGGTCATACCACAGTTTAGGACCAGAAGTATGCAGGAATAGGTAGAGTAACTCGACATTGGCTCTTGCTGTGTCTCTCCATTTTGAGGATGAGGATTTGATCATGAGAAGGGAAGGCAGAAAATGCAGTTGAAGAAACTATTGCTATGCAGAGATTCACTGAATGAAGGTTAGTACTAACTGAAGTCAGTTGGTGTAGATGCAGTGTTTCCACCATCGAAAAGCTCCTCTGGAATGTTCCTGTCCTGACCACAGTTTGTCAGATCTTTTTGGACCACTTTCTGTCCCTGCTCTTCAGCATCCAAGATTCTCAATTCCCTGAACTCCAGGTTGAAAACAAAATCCAGACAAATGCTGGGAAAAGAGCCTTTACCAACAGGAAGATCCTCAAAGATTCATCTCCTCACCTTACAAGCCTTTACTCCATGAATCTGAGCTGTTCATGGATTCTGTTCCTTTTGCACTGCAGCTTCTGTTTCCATGCTGAATTTGTTCTCGAGGCAGCAGTCACAACTGATAAGATGCTAAAAGAAGTTGGTGGGTATATGAGAGTCCACTTGCCCATCCTAATAGTG